ATTTGTAATAATTACAGGGGGCAAATGGAATTCAACCACCAGAGCATCCTTTTGAAGGCCTCTTCCATTTCTTTAAGAGTCGTTATTTGTATTGGTTTAAAGAAAGTGCATAAAACCCTGGTATTTAACCCTTGCAGAAGTAATTGGCTTGGAGAGGCACATGTCCAAACCAGAGAGCAGGCTTGTTTATTTGCAGTAGGCTGCGGGAGTCCTGCACTTACAAACATTCCTGCATTTTGGTTGAGAAAGATTTCACTGCTTAAGTGGCATATTAAAGAAAAATAAATAAATAAGCAACAGGAAACCTTTCCTTTTTACTTCACTTCCCAAAACAAGTGAAGCCATTCCTGGAAGTTAAGTTCTACACAACCTACAAGTGTTAACTACTCCTTGACATGCTTCATTTACTCTCATTTCTTGGCAGCTTCTGTACATAAACTGGACTTCTCCCTGAACACCCTCATTTACGTCACTTTTGGATGGGTCTGGAGATCATTACAGCAAACACTTTCTATTTTTCTTTGGTTACATGAAATTGAGAGATTTGTACAGCGTGATTTGGGCTGAGGTCAAACTCTTTAATCCTATTAAATACGATAAACTGTCCAAACTGGGGCAGCAGATATTTTGAATTTTCATATCTGAGCAAATATGAACTCAACAAAAATTCATTTTTTTTTCTAGGAAGCTACCAGGAAAGCATGCATGTCCACTGATTTCATTTTGGGGTATTCTTTTTTTTTTTTTTTTTAGATTTTATTTATTTATTCATGAGAGACACACACACACAGAGAGAGAGAGAGAGAGAGAGAGAGAGAGAGAGGCAGAGACACAGGCAGAGGGACAAGCAGGCTCCATGCAGGGAGCCTGACATGGGACTAGATCCTGGGTCTCCAGGATCACACCCTGAGCTGACAGCGGCGCTAAACCACTGAGTCACCTGGGTTGCCCCATTTCGGGGTATTCTAAATGGATTTGGAAAAGAGAAACTTTTTGAAAAACAACCTTTTTGTTTTGAAGTAATTTTACATTGACAAAATTTGTAAAAAACAAAAACAAAAACCAGTACAGTTTCCATTTACCCTTCTCTCAGTCTCCCCAGTTGCAAACACTTTACATTAACAGGGTATCCTTGCCAAAGGATATTGGAAACCAACACTGGCATATTATTACCCATGAGGACTTCAGACTATCCTGGACCTCACTAGGTTTTCTACCCACTGTCCTCTTTCTGGTCCAGGACCCAACCCACGATACCACACTGCAGTTCGTTGTGAAATCTCATACTTCCCTCTGAACTATGACCGTTTCTGTGACTTTCCTTATTTTTCATGACCTTGACATTTTTGAAGAGTTCTAATCAGCTATTTGATATTCCTCAATTTAGGTTTGAAGGATTTCTTTTCATGGTTAGACTAGAGCTATGAACTTTTGGGAAAGATACCCAAAAGATAAAGAGCTGAGATGCCCCTTTCATCACATTATTTCAGGAGGCACATGATAGCCACTTAACACCACATGATGCCATTAACTTTCATCCTTTAGTTAAAGGGATGTTTGCCCGATTTCTGCATGGTCAAGTGACCAGTTTTTCAGAATTGGACAATTTAAGAAAACACAACGAGTTATATGAATGGGTTATAACAGGAGGGTTATGCTTCATAGTGAAACAAAACTATGCAGATGTATGATTGTTTTGCTCTGTTTGCATTTTAGAAAAAGTAAATTTGAATCATTCAGCTAGGAGAATAATAGTTTTTTATTTTTTAATTTTTATTCATTATTATCATTATTATTATTTTAGAAAGAGTGAGTGCTTGGGGCAGGGGAAGGGCAGAGCAAGAGGCGGGAAAGAATCCTAAGCAGGCTCCATGCCCAGCTCAGAGCCTGATGCAGGGCTTGATCTCACAACTCTGAGATAATGACCTGAACAGAAATCAAAAGTCAGATGCTTAACTGACTAAGCCACTCAGATGCCCCCACAAATGGTTTTTTTTTTAATCACTCCTCTCTAGAAATTCTCAACTATATAACACACAGAGCATCTTTATCATAACATGATAATTAAAAACCATTCTCTCTGAGTTTGAGTTCCAGGCTCAATATTCTGTGATCTTGGGAAAGTTACTTCACTTTCCTCTCTTCACTTCTGTTTCTATATTTGTAAATCTAAAGGCCCATAAAGATAACCTGAAAGTCCTATGTCTACTTCACAGTGTTGTTTGGAAGATTGAATGAGTCAATATTTGTAAAAACCTTTAAAAGAGCATTTGCAATTTGCACAAAATAAACATGCTGTACCTTGGGGTGGGTGCAAAGGCTTAGTAATTTGCCAATGGTATGTGGCAACTACATAAAGGAAGTGGCATGTTTCGTGTTTACTCAGAATCCTGTAAACTCTTATTTGTTAGCTACTATGTTTATTGAAGAATAAAGCAAATTTTCAGTGACTTCCCTAAAGCTTGTTCTGTAAAACAAACAAAAGAGAGGTCATGGAAAAAAATGATCTCTTCATGCCTTTCTGATTTTATAAACTTCATAGGACAAGCCTGTTTTACACATACAAGTAGAAAACAAAGCAATACGGCTTTTAAGTTTCAAAGACTATTTTTGGGTTTCTGGGCCGGTTTCCTATCAAATCCCAAAAAACAATTTATAACAGGAGAACCACATGGGCTCAATTATTCATAAGTCAGTCACACATTTGCAACTTTTTGGGGACTCCCTCTGCCTGTGTCTCTGTCTCCCTCTCTCTCTGTCTCTCATGAATAACTAAATAAAATCCTAAAAAAAAAAAAATAAAGATAGGCATTCATTTTGTAAATTTTTTTCCAACCAGTAAGATGGAGAGTAAGTCAAATTCCTTTTATAGATGAAGTGATTGAAAATAGGACTACAGAATAAATCAGCGGTAGACCTCAACAGTAAAATTTTTTAAAATCCTGTGTAAGTGTACCCCCTGGTAGAGTACAGATGTCCCTTCCTTTTGGGAAGCCTAATACAGAAATTTTATTTTATTTTTTTTTAAATTTTTATTTATTTATGATAGTCACAGAGAGAGGGGGGGGTGCAGAGACAGAGGCAGAGGGAGAAGCAGGCTCCATGCACCGGGAGCCCGACGTGGGATTCGATCCCGGGTCTCCAGGATCACGCCCTGGGCCAAAGGCAGGCGCCAAACCGCTGCGCCACCCAGGGATCCCATACAGAAATTTTAAAACGTGGAAAAGAAAGACTGGGGAGCGAACCTTTCCAATTACAATTATTTTTCCCTTACGGAAGGATTTTCAACGGGTTGAGCCTCTGTGTCTGCGATACTGGGGAAAGCTGTCTCGCTCACTTAACGAACATCTGTAAAGTGCTTGACCTGTGCAAGCTCTCACAGATTGTCGACTCATTTCCCATAAGAATCTCGGGGTAGACAAAGACACGTCTAACAACCTGCAGGTGACAGGTGGCGACCAGGTGTAGGCCGCTGCGCTGCGCGCCAGGGGGGGGGGGGCTACAGGGTGCAGGTTGTTCACTCAGCTGGGCCGCCTGGAGTCTGGTTTCTAGACACCGGTGCCTGGGCCGTAGGTCATTCCTGTGTGCAGCCTCCACCCCTTCCCATCGAGATCCACGCCTCCAGGGGGGTCTGAATCCAACCTGGAGAATCACATTAATCCATCCGTACCTACGATCGAGTTAGCGAGAGTTCCCTAAGACTCCTGGTGGAAACGTAGTAAGAAGTATCGGGTTCAAAGGCTGAGATTCCTACTTAGAAAACTGAGACGTGTCATTGCTGCTAGAGAAAGGGGGACCGTCGCAGCAGGTCCGGTGGTAAGTGGAGCCGGATTTTGAGCGTGATGCGGCGGTTCCCGCTTCATCCGCAGGACAGAGGGTGCTTCGCGGCGGGTACCCATTTTCTGGGGACCAGGTGCTATTGTGTGCAGGGGTAGACCAGAAGGGGTGAAGGGGTGAATTCCGTGAGCCTGTCGGACTAGCCCCTGTGCAGCTTCAGGCTGGGGCCAGTCCCGTATTTCATTGATCAAATCTGAACCCCTCATGCCTTTGGGAAAGGAAGATCTCCCGGGACTTGAGGGAGTTTCCAACATTTCAGGGGGAGGAAGGGAGGGAATGCAGCAGAAGACAGAGAAAGAGGTCGCGGTACAGGCCTCGGCTCTCGCTGAAATCGTCCCTGGAAGGCACTTCAGACGCGGATCCATCCCTGTTCCCAGCAAGTGGAAGCCACCGCCAAGGTGAGCCAAGCGTGATTGGAGGATGCACAAGGGAAACGAGCTGGGACCCGAGCAGCCGGCTGCGCCGTCAGGCATCGCTCGTCCCAGGCGTCAGGAAAGAGCAGAACGGAATATAAGGGAAGGGAGAAGAAATGTGTGGGAGATATCAGAAAGGGACACAGAACATAAAGACTCCTAACTCTGGGAAATGAACTAGGGGTGGTGGAAGGGGAGGAGGGCGGGGGGTGGGGGTGAATGGGTGACGGGCACGGAGGGGGACACTTGACGGGATGAGCACTGGGTGTTATTCTGTATGTTGGTAAATTGAACACCAATAAAAATTAATTTATATAAAAAAAAATAAAGAATCTAATTCTTAAAAAAAAAAAAAAAGGAATTGAGAGGAGGCTGTGGGCGGCGGAGGGCGGGCAGCGCGGCCTTCACCCCCCAAAGTGGCAGCCAACGAGGCATCACTGTGAAAGCTGCGGTGCCGCCCTAGTCCGGGGCTCCAGCTCCGTCCCCAGCGCGTCGCCCCGGTACCCGGGATCGCGGGGCGCCCCCCCCCCCGCCCGGGGACTCAGGAGGAGGAGCTGGCACCGCGCGCCCGGGCCTGGCGGGAGGCCCGGGATGGGGGCGGGGGTGGCGGTGGGGGTGGGGGTGGGGGGGGGGTGGCCGGGCGGGGCCCCCTGCCCTTCCCCTTCCGGACCCGGGAATTCCCCGGCCCCCGCCGGCCGCGGATAAAAGGGCTTCCCCGGCTCCGGGAGCCCCAGAGGCCGCTCCGCCCGCCCCTCCGAGCCGAGCCCCATGGCCCCCGCCGCGCCCCGCGCCCCCCGCGCCCCCCGGCTCCCCGGCTCCTCCGCGCTGCTGCTCCTGCTCCTGCTCCTGGGCCCCGCGGGGACCGCAGGTGAGACTCCGCGCCCCGGGGCCAGGGCGGGCCGCGGGCCGGTGGGCGCCCCCCGGGGCCAGCGCGCCCACCCAGCTGCTCTCCCGTCCCCGCAGGGGCGCCGGTGGTCGCCGAGCTGCGCTGCCAGTGCTTGCAGACCCTGCAGGGAATCCACCTCAAGAACATCCAGAACGTCCAGGTGACGCCCTCGGGACCCCACTGCGCCCGAACCGAGGTCATGTAAGTGATGCGCCGCCGCCCCCGGCCCCCCGCCCCGCCCCGCCCCGCGTCCTGCCCACGCGCCTCCTGCCCACGCGCCTCCTGCCCTCCCTCCGCAGAGCCGCGCTCAAGGACGGACGCGAGGTGTGTCTCAACCCCGAGGCCCCGCTGGTCAAGAGAATGATCCAGAAGATCCTGAGCAAGTGAGTTGCGCCTTCATCCACACCGGGGGCGAGCGTTGTGGGCCCCGGACACCTGCGGGGGGTTTGTAAACCCAGGGTGCAGCTCCAGGACTGGAAAGGATCATTAGTTCCTAGTTACATCTGCTACTAAGATCATCCATCTGTGCGGGTGCCGGATTCCCAGTGCCCTCCATCCCCGTGCAAATGAGTGCGCGTAAACCTGCTCTCGTTAAAATTCTTACTGATATTGCTCAGTTATATTAAAAAGCTTTCCACCTGTTAAACACAGGCATCCACCCCCCCCCTTCCCCAATTCCTTCTGGGCTAAACATCTGAAAAGCAGAACCCTTGGTTTTCTGCAACATTGGCCCTAGAGCTTAGAGGTGAAGAGCAGCTACTTTGTAGTGACATCGCACTGGGAACCCATCCGAATTAGGCATCTAACTCAAGGATGATTATCATCATCATCATCATCATCTAAAGCTTCCCCAAGCCCAGTAGAACAGAGAAAACAATAGGAGCTACTGCATGGGGTTGCTTGGAGGCTGAAATGAGACTTAGGGTGACAGAGACACACATTCTGCCTGTGGGTAGCCACTAATCCAGTAGGGACCACCGGCCCCCTGCATTCCCAAATAAAAGCACCCAGGAGCTTAGAGGTCTCTGCTACACAGCATAAGGAGTAGCCTTTTGATGCTAGGCTGGGGAAACTAGATTGAGAAAACTCTGGAACCTTGGGGTCAGGACAGGAGAAGAGTGCAGTGCAGGCAGCTTCCCTGAGCAGCTACTAAGGATGACATTTTTCTCATCATCGGGCAGCTCCAACTAACCAGAGGAAGGAGGAAGCTGATGGGTGGCTGTACCTGAGTCAGGCCCTGCCCTTAAAGGAATCAAAGAGGAAAAGTGGAATCATCGGCTCCCAATGCCATCTGAATTGGGCTGCATATGTTTGAGCATCTCCTAGGAGAGTTCTCCTATGTATTTATTTATTTATTTATTTGTCTGTTGGTAGGTTGGTTTCCAAGGGTTTCTGTGTTAACATTTTACATATGAAATAGTGAGGATGTAATTGAATCCATTTGTGCACCATACCGTTATTTTTTTATTATTTTACGTTAAACCCAACCTAGTTCAATCCTGATGCTTATTTAATTTGAAGGTAGAAGGTTTGCAAATATTCTCCAATTATTAAATGAATACTTCTGAGGGGCCCGCAGCATGCCAGCCACTGTGACTGACGCTGGGGAGAGGGGTTCAAGCGAATAGAGAGTGATGTCATCGTGAGGTTGGGGAATATATGTATTCCTCTATTTTTATAATTGTTTAAAAGAGTGTCAGCTATTATTTATAGAAATAATTTCACAGCACGTGGTCAACATTTCTCCTGTTGAAGCTTTAGGAACTACAATGTTCTAAATATCCTTTGGACATTCTATGTCTTTCTTGTAAGGCACAATGCCTTATTTAGTGTTGATTATGCATTATTTCTCCATATCTTACAACAGAGAGGTTGAAACATTTATTGTTGTTTTTGCAAAGAACTTGAAAATAAAGTATTTCAAAGTAAAAAAAAAAGCTTGTTTCATTTAGGGGGAAAAGGCTATCTTTACTCATAATCTGATGATGTACACCAATATTTCTCGACTTTTTAAAGACATTTTTTTTAAATGGGCACCCAGTCTGCTACACAGAGAAATGAACTATAATTTATGCTTAACTTATCTGGTGGTAGCTTTTACTCCTCTTGAGTTTCACGTACCCAAGAATGTGCTTTTCCAAAGTGTGGGCTTCCCTCTGCCCCTCGGTGTGAGTCACTGATATATATCACTGGCTTTTATAAGGAGCTCCTTTCCACCCTATCACTCAGTTTTCTCTCCTCAAAAACATTTACATTCTTATAACAATCTTAACAAGGACTCTCATTTTGTTGCTTTGCTAAATGACTTTTCAAACAATTATCGACAATTTAAAGAAGCTGACAGTGAAGTGGTAAAGTGGGTTTTTTCTTCAAAATTCAAATAATTTGCATCACCAATAGAAACACAGTGAATGGCTGAGTACTTCACCTATGAAAGATCTGACATTGGATTCAGTACTCTAACCTTCATTTACAAGTAACTACCTCTAAGTTTAATGTCATTCCAACTCTTTATATCAATTTGTCAAATAGAATAGTTTTAAGATTTGAATGCATTAGATCCCATCCCTCTTGGTGCAAGTCTTATAGAACTGGATGGATTGTATAGGCTGAGAAAGTCTTCTGGAACTTGGTTTTCAATACCGCCCCAGGATGATATCAACACTCCAGATTTTCAGGACAGAAAAAAAAAATGTGTGTATAAAGAGAGGAAAGCTCCCTATAATCTGAAACTAGGCTCCAAACCCGAAAATGAAGAATATTTGTGGATGTGTGGAGTGTGTTTGTCTCTGAGTCAGGACTCATTAAGGAAATCCTGAGCCTTAGGTAAAAGCCTCCTCTCAAAACCTGAGATCAGATTCTGGTTTGCCCAAATAGCTGGGTAAATAAGGACTCCAAGTAGGGAGAAGCAACCTTGGTGAGCCTTTTTTCATAAAGTTAAAAATGGTAACCTCTTTACAACTCCAATGTTATTAGTTATCAATGAGATAAGAAGGACGAAAATTTGTGAATGGCACAGAAGGAAATAAATGCAAGCCATTCTAGAAGCTCCACAAATGCTAGCATTCACTCCCCAACCCCAAGTCAAGGGACATTGGAAGTTATTTCCAAGTGGAACCCCCAAGGGCTCAATAAAGCCCTTACACCTAAGACCAGTCCTTACATTCAAACACTGGCTTGAGCTTGCTCTACCGGCCACTGAGTTCTTGTCAATATGGAACATGCAACATAAAAAGGAGAAAGGGGATGTTCTGTTTATACAGTGGTTAAGGACATGGGTTTCAAAGAATTGGATAGACGGTGGATAAATTCCAGCTCTATCTCTTGCTGACTGTGTGTTCTTGGGCACTTTTCTTGACATCACCCACCCTCATTTCCCCTGTTATAGAATGGAGACAATAACATAATACACTTTCTGAAATTTTTACAGGGATTAAACACTGTCAATACCTCCAGAAATCTGCCACTGGTCCTTAAGCCAATTCCATGGATCCTGTCTCAGTGTCTGTCCTGGATCAAGTGGATATGTACTATGTTTTTTCACACCACATTGCCCTGAGACTTTGAGAGTACAAGGCAGCCTCTCATTGAGAGTATTATGGCAGGAAATGGGACACAAGGGTGTGCGAGGTGGTGGTCGTGAAGTGAAGTAGGGAACGAATATCGGGTGACACCTCACAACTTCCAAGGCCATCAGCTACAAGTAGCAGTGGCAGCACTGACTCAAGTTTCTTGAGCAATGTTACCAAAGTGCTAAATCCAAAAAGGGGGAAATGCTATTGAGATGTTCTTTCAGAATTTCCAGACGTAACCAGAAAGACACTGGGGGGACGGTAGAGGTGGCAAACCTGCAATAGCGTAATGGGGGTCAGTCCAGAATAGCAGATGATACTGTTTCTCTTTTTTTCCTGACTTAACCCACACAAATAATAAGGGGAAGGTTTTATGCCATCTTTACCGTTGGTGCTCCGCTCTATCTCCTTCACTTACCAATGGCTTCCATAGTTGCAATGGGCAGCATCCTTGCTTCCCTATCCTTCTGATCCTCTTCCTGAGGGCTCTCTCCATTTGGACATGGGGAGGAGGGTACGGCAAAGAGAGTTTGCTCAGCTCAGAGGATCTGGTTTAATGACCTCAGGCTGCCCTCCTTGAGGGTTGGGAATCAGAGGATGAATATTCTATTTTCCAGTCCCTTGGTTGGACAATTCTAGAAGTTACACTGTGTGTGTATTTGTATGTACACGTGTTTTATAAGGAACTCCTTTCTACCTTGTTACTACTCAACTTTATCTCCTCAAAAACATTCTTATAGCTACCTTAACAAGCACTCTCATTTCATTGCTTTGCTAAGTGATTTATTTATAAATATGCTTATTATATATATGCTTTCCACCTCACTCTTCATTATGTTCACATTTTCTCTTAAATCCTTGAGCATATTGGGGTGCCTGGGTGGCTCAGTCGGTTAAAGATCTGACTCTCAGTCGGTTAAAGATTCGAACTCAGGGTCATGAGATCCATTCCCCAGTATGCTCTGTGCTCAGTGGGGCATCTGCTTGAGAATCTCACTCTCCCTTCCCCCTCCCCTGCCCTGTTTGCACTCTCTCTCTGTCTAAATCTTAAAAAAAAAAAATCATTGAGCATATATATAATAGCTAGTTTAAAATTCTTGTCTACTAATTGTATCATTCTGTCATTTTTATGTTTATTGACTGATCTCCATCACCCCCCACTATGTTTTTCTTCCTGGCATGTGTAGTAATTTTTTATTGGATGCAGGAATTTTTTTTAAAGATTTTATTTATTTATTCATGAGAGACAGAGAGAGAGAGAGAGGCAGAGACACAGGCATAGGGAGAAGCAGGCTCCATTCAGAGAGCCCGACGTGGGACTTGATCCCAGGTCCCCAGGATCATGCTCTAGGCCTAAGGCAGCACTAAACCGCTGAGCCACCCAGGCTGCCCGGATGCAGGAATTTTGAATCTTATGTTGCTGAGTGTCAAGATTTTGTTTTCTTTCTTTAGAATCCTGATCTCTGTTGTGGCAAGCTGTTAACTTACCAGAGAATCAGCTTGATCTTTTGTAGGCTGTTTTTTAAGCTTTATTAGGATGATCTAGAGAGATTTCTTTGCCCCAAAGTTTGTTTAGCTGTACTACTAAAATCATGTCCTATCTGTGTCCTATCTGCTGAATACCCTATTCTGCTGAATACCTAAGTGCTTACAAGATCCCTCTACCCTAACCAGTCCAATCTTAAATATCTCCCCCTGCCATGCAATCTAAGAATTGCTCAGCTTACAGATCTCTGGCCACTTTCTGCCTGACCCACTGGAGTTTCACCATATGCATGTAACCTAGTATTGATCAGGGAGACCTAATGGAA